AAAAAGAGCAGGTTTGATGCGAAATTAACATTCTGGAAAATTTTGTTGGCCTACTACTTACTCCGATTGGCTTTAGTATGTGATTCATGTCTTGGCTGTTCACCATTAATTCAGGGAAAAAAGAGAAAAAGGGTCGTCAAATCTGACAGCACACCATCGAAGGGCTCAGCCAAGGTTGTGCGTGTATAATTAAATCTAGAAATATAGCACAGTGGAACTTGGTACTTCTGCGCAAGATTGTAGATCATTTATGCTTATAGGTCTGTTTTGCCTTTCATTTACTTCAATCATTTAAATAGAAAACATGATATAATTAACCAATGTCCTGATATGTCATCTTTGACATTATGGCTTATGGTTTTGAATAAAAAGATGTCAATTGATGATAGAAACAAATGAGAGGGTGTTATGGCATATAATTGCCATTGATTGGTAGTTCATATATATTCATGGGATACATAATCTTGGAGAGGCATGTGCGGAGTTCTTGTTTGAAGCATTTTACATTTGTAACTATGGTATGGTGAAAATTTGATTTTAAAATTTGCTTTGCAAGTATTGCAAGAGTAAAAAATGGAAAAGGTGAGAAGTATCATTGATGATCCGAGGCTCACCTTTCAACAAGCCAAATGAAACTGTCAAGGAATAGGGATGATCCCTATATTGCTACTAGTGGCTGATTTTTTTACCTAACATGATATTGAGTAGCACGCATTGTGAGGGATGGCTTGTAAATATGTAGTTCATCTATATCACAAGAAATAAGCTAGTCAGAACCGTAATGCTCTCTGCTTTTTTCTCCGTGGAATCATGATAGTGAAATTGGACTGGAGGAAAGAGATCTGATGTTTGAAATTATACATATGAAATTCCAGATAAATGTATTATCTTAAGTTCACACTATTTGAAATTATGCCATTTTGTTTATGATATTTTCAGAGTCAAAAGAAAACTGCGGGTACAATGAGCACCCATGGTGAATCAGAAGATGAATCAGAGGAAGGGGAAGCGGAAGAGGAAGAGGATGAGAAAAAGGACAATTTAAATGGTGTCCCTGAAAATAATGATGATGAGATGTCTGAACAAGCCAAAAGTGACGAAGAAGGAAGTATTTCTGAAAAGGAATCGGATGAGCAAAAAGTAGGGCAGAAGTCAAGATCATCAATGCCTTCTGCAAAGAAGGTATCTACGGGAATAGCCAAGAAAGTAGCAGTCTCCAAAACGAACAATACCTCTCCCAATAATGCTCCAGCCAAGTCATCAAATCGCTCAGAAAGTGATAAGAACAACGGTGCAGTGATATCTTCCGATAAGAAGAAACAAGAACCAAGCACAAAAAAGTCTTCTGATAAGATGAAAGAAGAACCAACCCCAAAGAAATCTTCGGATGAGCAAAAAATAGGGCACAAGTCAAGATCATCAATGCCTTCTGCAAAGAAGGTATCTACGGGAATAGCCAAGAAAGTAACAGTCTCCAAAACGAACAATACCTCTCCCAATAATGCTCCAGCCAAGTCATCAAATCGCTCAGAAAGTGATAAGAACAACGGTGCAGTGATATCTTCCGATAAGAAGAAACAAGAACCAAGCACAAAAAAGTCTTCTGATAAGATGAAAGAAGAACCAACCACAAAGAAATCTCTGGATAAGAAGAAAAAAGGAGAAAGCACAAAAATGTCTTCTGATAAGAAGAAAGAAGAATCAACCGCAATGAAATCTTCCAATAAGAAGAAAGAACCAACGACGAAATCTTCTGATAATGATGAAGAAGAATCAACAGCAAAGAACTCTTTGGATAAAAAGGAAGAAGAAGAAGCCGCAAAGAAATCGTACGACGAGAACGAAGAACCAACCACAATGAAGTCTGCTGGGAAGAAGAAAGAACCAACCACAAAGAAATCTGTTGATAAGAGAAAAGAAGAATCGATCTCAAAGAAGGAAGAACCAGTGATGAAGTCATCCATTCCAAAGAAGACAGCAGTTCCAGATAACTTTTTGTCAAAAGAGGGCACTGGTGAGAATATAGCTGTCTATTGTCAGAATAGATGTTTTTGAGCATTCCCTCTTTTTTACGTCACAGTGTAGGAACCTCGATAATAATCAGCCACCTAAAAACTTGTTTTATGATCTAATGCAGGGAAAAGTATCCTAAAAGTGAAAGATAAGGCCGAGAAGGAAGAACCAGAGCCAAGCAATGATGATATTAGGAAGTCTGTATGTAAAATCCTCATGGAAGTTGATTTTAATACGGTTAGTACTAAGTTCTATATGTTTCTCTTTTCTCCCTCTTGCTTTCTTCTCTTCTCCATCTCCCAGCTTTTATGGTTTGGGAGAAGTCGTCGAAGGCATGCATGATTTGTTTTGAAAAATACTGTTGGTTACATTATCAGATATCTCCTTCCAAATCTCTTGGATTATGTACTTGTATTATCTCAAGCATAGGTAACCAAATGTGATTTCATCCCCATTATAAAATCGATTACGTATCTGGTGGCTGAGCATTATTTATAAAGAAATGTGAAACTCATGTTTAAAACTCAATTGGTTTTTGGTGGTGATATGTGAGATCATCATGATTTTCGCAGTTCAATTTCTAATACTATCATTGTATAACTATTCTTATTTAGTGTTTTCATGTACACTGACTGTACTTCTGTTTTTTCAGGCGACCTTCACTGACATTATGAAGCTACTCGGTGCGTTCCCCAGAACTTTACTTAAACGTGTACTGACCAAGAACTTCTATTAGATTTTGGGACGTATAATTCACCACTGCAACTTATATCGTGAATCGACTGATATATGCCTTTTGTTACCTTTGATATCCTAAATAATCTTTTACACAAACATCACTTTCGAATTTTTCCCTGGTATTGGATGTTGAAACTTCTTTTCTCCCATTCAGCTCAGCAGTTTGATGTGGATCTGACCCATAGGAAAGCAGACATAAGGGGCATGATTCAGCAAGAGCTCACTAAATTAGCAGAAACTGATGACGAGGAAGATGATGCCGGCAAGGATGAGAAAAATCCTTCTACCGTCGGTGTTAATGCCTGAAGAACAAAATGTCAAGTGATAATGGCAGACCTGTTAACTGAGGTACACTCTTTCGGCTTTGTCCGATGTAATTTATTCTGTCTTTGCTTTAGGATTTGTGTAAGCTGTATCTTGACCCAGGTTAGCTGTAATTCTCTGTTACATTAGTTTTTGCAAATTTTCTTTGTAGAGTTTGTTAGAGCTTTCCTTGTTCTATTGTTTAACCCCTCTAGAAGGATAGAGCTTCTGTTTCTCAGATAGTACTGATAGGCATAAGTTTGAAATTATTATTATTATTATTATTATTATTATTATTATTATTATTATTATTATTATTATTATTATTATTATATTATTATTATTATTATTATTATTATTATTAAGACATGACAACCCAAGGACAGTGCAAGCCTAAATCCTCAAAACTAAAAAAAAATTAAATGGTGATGATATATTAATCTTACAAGGATTAAATATGGAAATCCACTCTATTGAGTGGTGTGATACCGGAATTTTACTATGGGAATCCACTTAATCAGTGGAGTGGTACCTGAATACTCTCTATTTTGTCCAACATCTAATAACATTTTAAATACAATTTATGTCATTGGTATACAATTTATGATAAAAATACTACTTTGACAAATTAAAATTGACATTTTAAAATGATGCGTGTGTTTAGTAATGGTTAACTTCAAAAAAATTTGTATTTCTTGGTGAAAATAAATTAGTTTATGAGTAAGAATAAGATCGGTTTTGCTATTGAGCCATCGAATGACTCGACTTATGGAGTCATCCATAGTTACTCACAAATGGTGTATTGACACGTGTCCTGCAATAAATACTACACAGTGGACACGTGTCAATACATAAAGTTATAGATGATTCCTAAAGGAATCATATCCGATGGCTCCATAACATTTCTGAGAATCAGAATATGCAAAAAAAAAA